CACCGTATTAACAAACTGAAGAAGAAAAACCATATGATCATCTCAATAGAGGCATAAAAAGCCTTTGACAAAATTCAACACCCATTTATGATAAAAACCCTCCAGAAAGTAGGCATAGAGGGAACTTACCTCAACATAATAAAGGCCATATATGACAAACCCACAGCCAACATTGTTCTCAATGGTGAAAAATTGAAACCATTTCCTCTAAGATCAGGAAAAAGACAAGGTTGTCCACTCTCACCACTATTATTCAACATAATTTTGGAAATTTTAGCTACAGCCATCAGTCAATAAAAAGAAACAGAAGGAATCCAAATCGGAAAAGAAGAAGTAAAGCTGTCACTGTTTGATACTATAACATAGAGAATCCTAAAGATGCTACCAGAAAACTACTAGAGCTAATCAATGAATTTGGTAAAGTAGCAGGATACAAAATTAATGCACAGAAATCTCTTGCATTCCTATACACTAATGATGAAAAATCTGAAAGTGAAATTAAGGAAACACTCCCATTTACCACTGCAACAAAAAGAATAAAATATCTTGGAATAAACCTACCTAAGGAGACAAAAGACCTGTATGCAGAAAACTATAAGACACTGATGAAAGAAATTAAAGATGATACAAACAGATGGAGAGATATACCATGTTCTTGGATTGGAAGAATCAACATTGTGAAAATGACTCTACTACCCAAAGCAATCTACAGATTCAATGCAATCCCTATCAAACTACCAATGGAACCTAGGGGCAGAACAAGAATAAAGATGCAGACATAGAGAATGGACTTGAGGACACAGCGAGGGGGAAGGGTAAGCTGGGACAAAGTGAGAGAGGGGTATGGTCTTATATACATTACCAAATGTAAAATAGATAGCTAGGGAAGCAGCCGCATAGCACAGGGAGATCTGCTCGGTGCTTTGTGACCACATAGAGGGGTGGGATAGGGAGGGTGGGAGGGAGACGCAAGAAGGAGGAGATATGGGGATATATGTATATGTAGATCTGATTCACTTTGTTATAAAGCAGAAACTAACACACCATTGTAAAGCAATTATACTCCAATAAAGATGTTAAAAAAAACGGCAATTAAGAGTCAGAAGAAAACAAGACACAAAGAGGACTAGAGAAGATGGAGACAGTAGTTGGATCCTATGGCTGCCCAGATTTTGAAGGATTCCAGTCGTAGTCTGTGTATTTCCTTAAAAATAAGCCCCCACCCCACCTTCACCATTTTTTAAAATTAAAATGGTCCCTGTTCCCTGTAATTGAGGTGGCACCTGTTTTTTGTATTAATCAAGACTCTTTCTATTGCAAGTAACAGAAAGGTAACTAATCAATTGGAGCAAAAAGTCCAGGGACCATGCTTCTGGCAGGGCTAGATTCACATACCATCAGGAATCTGATTCTCCATCGTTCAGTCCGCTCTCCTTTGTGTCTGTTTCATTCTCCAGGGTTTCCCCTCTTGATGGCAGAGATGGCCATTGGAAGCTTCAGGCTTATTTTGTACTAGTTTATCATCTCAGAAGAAAAAGTTTCTCTTTCCAGTAGTTTCAACAAAAGTTCTGTGGTTGATGCTCACTGGAAAGTGCTGAGTAGCTTTCAATCACTGAAATGTGATTGGAAAATTGTGATTGACTGGGCTTGGTCATATGCCTGCCCTTGAACTAGGTGAACACACACCACATAGGAAAAGAATGAGGGGAAATGCTCTAAGAACTGTAGAGATTATGAATTGCCCTCCAGAAGTTTTTGTCAAACTCTTTCTGGGTAACAAAACACCCACATATTAGCCAGGAATATAGCCACCCAGAATCAAGACTACATTTCAAAGGATCTCTTGAAGCTAGAAAGCCAGGTGACAATGTTCAGACCAACTGAATACAAGTGGAAGTGATGCAGGTCACTTCCTGGAAACATCCTCAAAGGAATATGTCATGATTTTCCGTCCTTTCTTCCTTACCTGTGTCCAGAATGTGGACAGGATGGCTGGAGATGAATAAGTCATCTTGGACTTACATGGTGATTTGAGGATGGAGGAAACACATGGTAGAGCCTGGGTCCTTAACACTGTGGAGCCACATCAGCACTGAATCGTCTTTATCTTCTTTTATGTGATAGAAAAGTAAACATATGTCTTGTTTAACTGAGTGTTATTTGACAAACCACACAACCCAACGTAATCCTACCAGAACCCCCCAAAGGAAAATCCTGGCATTCCTGGAAAAAATAGGGGCAGGGATGATGCGCAGGCATGTCCACTGTCTCACTCCCTGAAAAATTTTATCTCAGTCACGGTCATTACTCTGGTTGGAAATTTGAAGAGGTAAATCTGCCTGGCTCTGATGTATCTGAATATCCAGAAATTTCAGAGCTTATGAATTCAAAGACAAAACTAATTTTAAAGTTGAGCCAAGCACAGAATTATGAGAAATAACCATATCCATGTTTTATTTTCCCTAAAGAAAAAAGCACTTGTCAGAGTGGATTAATCCACATTTAACCTTGTAACTTTAACAGTGAAATGTAGAAGTAGCAGGCTCGCAATGTGGAAAACTGTTGAGAATACATATTAGAACTTCTTTCAATAAATTTGTTTTGACATTTTTATTAAGAATTTGAGTGAGGAATTAATTAAATTGTAATCAAACACAGAGATGGGATGATGCCAGTAGAATGGTTCATGCCTTGAATAATGGAATCAGAATTATGCAACGTCAGAACCCCAAGAGGTTTAAGTTTGTCATAACTCCCCATTGTACAGATGAGAAAACTGAGGCTCAGAGCTGTCAATCCATTGCCCAAGGTATACCTGGAATCTAGGGTAAAGCTGTTGGCATTCCTTCTTTCTACTTTTTCTTTTTGAATAAATGAAAGCTATGTCATGATTCAAGATTCAAGTAGACATTTTTTTTAATGGAGTGAGATGATGAGATAAGATACAATTTAATCAGGTCAAATGTGTAAGGACCTACATGTTGGGTCCAAAAAAGCCCACTGTACAAGCACAGTATGGGGTAGATGTGCCTTAATCAGCAGTACTTGTAAGAAACACTTAGAGACATTACTTGGCTGAAGCTTGAGCTGTCAGCAGTGTGATGTAGCTACAAGAAAAAGATGATGGAGTCATGGGAGGCATTACTGGAAACAGAGTTTAAGGAAGGGAGGGAGAGTCCTGTTGAAATTTTCAGTCTGTTGAGCTTTTCAGTCTACAGTGGGGAATTCCTCATTCAGTCCCAGGTGTCAGACTTCAGAAGTGACATAGACAAATTAGTTCAGATCTAGGATGGAATTATGTGAGGAATGGTCAAAGGAACTTAGGAAACTGCAAAGCACTCTAACTAAGAGCTTCAATCTTGGAGTCCGACTGCCTGGGTTTCATCCCAGCTCATCCAATTACTGAGTATGTGTTCATTAAGCCTTAATCTCACTGTCTGTAAATTAGGAATTATAATAGTACCTGTCGCTGAAGATAAATGAGGTAGTGAATGCCAAGTGATTTGCATGTTACTGGCACAAAACAAGCACTCAATAAGTGTTCGGATTAAGGAAGCAATGTGATGTGAGGATAATGGTAAAAATCCCATAGGTTGTGGTGAATATTAAATGAGCTAACACATGCCCAGTGCTTGAAACAAACTTCCTAGTTGTTATCATCTGTAGGAGAGGGATTGGCCTAAGGTTTCTAGGGATGGGTCTGGTTTGGGGACAGAATATTCCCTTAGCTTGGGCTAAAGTCCACAGAGCCTGACCAGATTATTCCCCGAAGAAGGACCCTGAAAAAGGATGTTCAGTTTGGGGAGAGAGAGGGGTGCAGTGAGGGTGGTGGTCACTCAGACATTTCATGCGGGTACTCACTTGGTGAACACCTGGACAGGATGACATGGCACTGTGGAGTGACAGCCCAGCTGCATTCTTGGCCATGGTCACTTAGGCCTGTCTGATGAACAGTTCTGATCCGCTAGTGTGGTCACGCAGGGCAGTACTGGGGTTGGTCACTCAAGCCTGTTCTGGGCACGGTCACTGATAATTGTCCTGTGGGCAGTCTCTTAGGAGCCATTCGAGGAGGAATTGCTCCTGGATAAGTCCTCCGCGCCCTCTGTTTCCTCCTCCCAGTGCCACTGCGTGCAGAAGTCCTGGACCTTACGGACGCTGTGGGACCCTGGTCAGCTCCCCGGGGAGCAGCCCACCGCTAGAGGGCGGCGGCTGAGAGGGACCCGCCCTCGGGGAGTCCGCTCCTTTGGGGCTCGCTCTTCCGCCAGGCCCAAGGAGAGGTGGGGTGACAGTGGGTGGAGATGCACGCTTCATGGGTGTGAGAGCGAGCCGCCTGGGTGTGAGTCAGCGCGCGGGGGTCCAAGGAGCTCCACGGATAGTCACGGAATCTCACTCACGCTCGGCTCCTCCGCCCATCCCGTCTAGAGCGTGTGTCCCGGTCCTGCGCCTGCGTGCGCACACCGCACGATGTCCGATTCCGGGCTCTGGGTGTCCTTTGGGTGAAACGGGGGTGGGCGGAAGAGGGAGTGTCCCTGTGGGTGTTTTTGCACCCAGGTTAGATTTCTCTCTCCCCTCCCCATGTGGGGTCTGGGGGTGTATCCCGCTCAGGTACGCGTGTACCTGTGTTTGTGCGTGCGTGCGTGTGTCAGTGTGGTGGGACCTGTTATCAGTGCAGGGTGCTTGCGTCTGTGCCCGGGTCTCTGTCTGGGTCTGGATGTTGGCGCAATCTCGAACCCCTGGGTGTCGGGAGGCCCTGGTGGCCGGGGTATCCAGCCTCCCGGAGGAGCAAATGCCTCGACACCTTCCCCTCACCACCCCAAGCTGGCCCGGGCTCCTTAGGGAGCTGCCTACGTGGGGAGGGCCCGGGGTGGTGTGTCCCTGGGAGGGATAGAGAAGGGGGGCCAAGGGGCTGGCCGGGTCCCCGGGCGGGGCGCGGGCTCGGGGGACCCGCGCGGCTGACGTCAGGCGACTCCTTAAATAGAGCCGGCAGCGCGCTCGGCCCCGCATTTCTCGAGGAGCCGGAACGCGGCCGGCGGCCAGCGCCACCGTCCGGCCCGCCCGCCCGCACCGCCGCGCCGCCGCCGAGCGTTCGGGGCGCCGCGGCGCGAGGATCCGGGATGGGGCTTCGGGCGCTGGGCGCGCTTCTAACCCGGCGCACGTGAGAGCCGAGGAGCGCCGGGCGCCGCCCCGCTGCCCGGAGCCCCAGAGCCCAGAACGCGGGGATGTCGGAGGCGCCGCCGCCCGTTCCCCGAGGAGACGCCGCCTCCGGGATCCCCGGGCATGGTGCGCGCCCGGGCCGGCAGCTCCCGGAGAAGACGGCGCCCCATATGCCCGACCCTCGTGGCCCGGGCCGCGCGGCTCGAGCCCTCTAGGCGGCCGCAGGGCCCCAGCCGCTCCGCCGCCGGCGCCCCCTCGGAAACCATGACCCCCGGAGCGGGCCCATGGAGCCATGGCCTATAGGGTCCTGGGCCGTGCGGGGCCACCTCAGCCGCGGAGGGCGCGCAGGCTGCTCTTCGCCTTCACGCTCTCGCTCTCCTGCACTTACCTGTGTTACAGCCTCCTGTGCTGCTGCGACGACCTCGGCCAGAGCCGCCTCCTCGGCGCGCCTCGCTGCCTCCGCGGCCCCAGCGCGGGCGGCCAGAAACTTCTCCAGAAGTCCCGGCCCTGCGATCTGCCGGGCCCGACGCCCAGCGAGCCGAGCGCTCCCAGCGCGCCCGCCGCTGCCGCGCCCGCCCTTCGCCTCTCCGGTTCCAACCACTCCGGCTCGCCAAAGCTGGGTACCAAGCGGCTGCCCCAAGCCCTCATTGTGGGCGTGAAGAAGGGGGGCACCCGCGCCGTGCTGGAGTTTATCCGCGTGCACCCGGATGTGCGGGCCTTGGGCACCGAGCCCCACTTCTTCGACAGGAACTACGGCCGCGGGCTGGACTGGTACAGGTAAGGAGGGGAGCCCCACTCAGCGCGCCCCGGCTCCAATCGGCTCCGTCCTCTGAGCCATCTCCTGCGCTTTCGCTTCCCCTTAACCCGGCTCGCTGAGTGGGCTCCGGTTGACACGTGAGGGGGTGGGGGAACTCTAGCAGAAGGATTTATCCAGAACTTCCCAGTGATTGTGCAGACGGGCCCCGGTTTCTTGAACGGCGAAGGACAGTTGTCTCTGGAATCGCCGGAAGGGAAGGGAGATCTCTGGCCTGACCTCGGGGCGAGTTGGAGGGCTGGCTCCGTGTCCAGCGTCTGGGGTAAAGCTGAGTGCGCAGGGAAGGGGCAGCCGGGACAGGTGCTGCCTGAACACAGCCCTGTCCTGACTCTCGCCAGATGTTTCTTGGCATTTGACGGACCCAGAGAAGGGAAGGTCCGAAGAGGGCCCCCTCGCGGCAGGGCTCTGCGCTTGGGCGAGGTCCCCGGAGTTCAGGCTGAAGGAGAGGGCATCCCCTGAGGTGTGGGCATGACAAAGGCCCCTTCCGGAGTCTCAATCTGAGCTCCAGGTATTTGCTGCTGTATCTGGCCTGAGACTCCCAGTCACTCTGACCCTGAATTAGTGTTTTTGAATAGTGGAAAGGACCCTGGATGTGAGTCTTGGCTCTGCACTTAGCTTGAGCAAATTCCTAAAATTCATTGAGCCTTGATTTTCTGGTCCATCACAAGGATCAGGAAAAGTCCCTGCCCTGTGTGCCTCTCAAGGCCTTTCTAAGCGCTCTAAAAGTGCCAAAGAGACACTTCGCACTGGGCGATGCTTCTAAACCAGCAGCCAGGGTGTGGAATTTGGAATACTTGTAGGCACCTCAGATGAAGGCTGGCTAGGGTCATAGGGGCAACCAGTCATAGGCAGACTCCCACTGCACTGCCAGGGATGACAGTCACCCAAGCTGGCGGTGTCTGGGAATAGCCTGAAACTTCTGGAAGGTAGTAGCCTCCACTGTTCACTGCCCATTTCCCTCCCAAGCCCTGTATGGTGCTGAAATGTAGGACTGGCCCATGTGTGGGCTGAGCAGGGCATCCCTGGGGGTGGTGTAATGTATGTGGTCCCCATAAAACCTGGGTCACAAATTTCTCACCATTTGCCTGACCCCTTGAAGACTTGCTACAAAAGTCTGCCTAGTAATGGAACTGGGGAGGGGTAACATGGTAGCTGACACAGTAGCTGAGGCTATTCTTTAAAAATTTTCTTAAAGTAAACCCTCTAGGGAGTAGAAAGTCATAAGCATATTGGATAAAGGACAACTTCATTAGAAGGAGGACCCCACGGGGCTCATAATAAGGACCCTGGATTTGTAAGGATCGGGGCAACAGGGCCAACTTATCCCCTTTGCCAGGGAGCCCTGGCCTGCAGTGGTCATGGCTTATGGGACCAGGGGTGGGACATGCCCCTTCCTCAGGAAGCAGACACACAGTCCATCTCCAGTGGAGTGCAGCAAGGGCACAGCTGGTCTGTGGGTGGCCCCAGCACCTTTATGCTGGCTCTGTGGAATAGGGAGGGTGGCACAGAATGGCAGGTCTGGTGCTTTCCAAGCTGTGACCCCCCCCCCCAGGCATCCCATCTGGGTGTACGAAGTATTTGAGGACAGCGTCTGAGCCAGACCGTGGGGTGAGAGAGGCAAACACATCTAACAGCAGAGCACGATGTGGGTCAGCCATGGCCATACTCTAATGCACAGCAGGGTTTCCTCGATGGAAAATCTAAAGAGCATTATGAAACCCTTTGCCAAAGTGAAGTGCCTTTTAAGTGCAAAATAGCAAAATTGTGAGCATTGGCTTTTATTGAGCCCTCCACTAAACACCTATTCCCTGCACCCAGCCCCTGCACTCCCTCTTCTGTGCTCTGCCACCAAACACCATACCTCAGGCTTCCTTCTCGGAGCCTGTGTCATTCAGGGATGGCTGCTTTTTATTTTTAACCTTGGCATGTGTGATTCTAAGCCAGCTTAGCTGTGAACCTTAGAGATGGGAGCCGTGCCTTTTTTTTTTTTTTTTTTTTTTTTATATAGCACATTTGGATTCTGCTAAAATTCTCAACTGAGTCTTGGTAGGTTTTATTTAACATCAAGCATGCTGACAGCTCCACTTCTTTCTCTACTACCCCCCACTTCCCAGGGTCTGTCTTACCGTCCCTTTCTCCCTTTATATTTCCGAAAGAACATTTGGCCTGCAGGTCTGGTAGTAACAGCCCCATCCCCGTCCCCGTCACCCATCCCCAGGAAGGCTAGGAGCCTCTAGCATCAGGAGGGGCTGTGTGATTTGTGCTTATTTGGGTTGCAAATCCACACCCCCAGAGCCCAGGGTTTCGGGTGTGGATGGTCATTTCTGCATAAGGTAATACTGCCCCATTTGGATGCTGTTTCCATACTTTCCAGAACATTTCTCTGTATGTGTTTTACTCTATTATCACTCAAGTAATATGCGTTAGTTGCAGAAGTGATGGGGATAGATGGTTTTCTTTAAAACCCATGCTCTCACTTTATTCCTGAATTCCATGACTTAGGACGGCAGGTGGTAAGATGCTTCTCTCTCTGCCTGTTGCCCTTATCATTTCACAGATGTGAAAACTGCAACCCAAAAAGAGAGCATCTGGAATGAGACTCAAAGCAAGCTGATGAAATTTAGGCCCAAAAGTCATTGGCATGCACTGTCCCACCAAGATTTACACATACACGCTGTGTGTGTGTGTGTGTGTGTGTGAGCTCATGCGTGTGTGCATTTCCAGCCAAGTACTCTAACCAGTGTTCTGCACAGCTTGCCACCATAAAGCCAGTGTCCACTGGGTAGACATGGCCAAAGAGCCCTTGCACCTATTGTAGGGGACTGTGTTTTCCAAAGGTAGAGTTGCAGAGTTGCAGGCAGTGGATCTCATTATGATCTGCCCACCTTGAAGCCCCTGGGGATAACCTCCCAGGTCTGGAGGCCCCAGTCAGGTAGACAATGGAAAAATCAAAAGGAGAGACTTCTTTCTGTGAGTAAGTGGAGATAAACCAGGAGGTGACAAACGGTGCCTGAAGGCAAAATGAAACATCCAGGGAGGCACCATTGGCCAGAGGCCAGGAGACAGAATCTGCACCTTCCTTACCCCCAGCCTGAATCCTCTCTTGGAACTAGCCCAGTTCAGGCCACCCTAGGAATGCCCATCACTGAAGCTTACCTCACCTCTGCACCTGGGTAGCTTCCCCTCTCCCAATTTGCTCCACATACAGAAGGGTCCTGGCCTTAAGTTCTACTTTCAACAGCTGGGTGTGCAGGGTGGGGTCGGCTAGCTGCTTGGACAGGGAGGCAGTGTGAGACCATGCTACCAAGGGACCCAGGATAGGACCTGCTGTCAGAAGGCAGGAGATAGTCCCCTATGCTGGGTAATTGGAAACAGAGTCCTGGCTCCCTCGTCATGTGATGGCGCCTGTGGTAACTATCACAGAAGGTTGTTTTGAAGAATGAATGAAACCCTGTATATGAAAGTGCCCTGGAAAATTCCCTGGTGTATAAAGATAAGACAGTAATGTTATCACTGTTACCACTATTACTACTACTACTTCACGAACACTCCTTTTACCACCATCAGTACTATTAGTATTAAAACTATCTGTTTCTTTCCCCACTGCTGTTACTACGTGGGGCTGAGGAATTAATTAATTGCTGGAAAAGTAGTTTCATGAACGCCTGGGAGGGGTCCTGGCCTTAAGTTCTACTTTCAACTCTGCTTTAATTGTCCTTTTTCCCCTCCCTCCCTTTCTTCTCTCCTTCCTCCTGCATTGGTAAAAAGTCACTTCTCATTTCTGGGTGTCAGTTTGCTCACCTTTAAAATGAGAATGATATCTGACAATGTATGTGAAAATGCTTCTCCCAATCTAAGATTATATTCGGGATGCATCAAAGGTTGAGTATGAGACAGAGTATTCAGGGCTTTCATCTTTCATAAAGAGACATAAGTTGTGCATTGTCCAGTAGTTTTTAAAGTCTTAGGGGAAACTGAATTTTGTGTAAAGTGTCCTCCATTTTGCTAGTTTTCAGCGACTGGGGTTGGGGGGTGGCAGTGTGAAGACGAAGTGAATCTTCTCTAAATGCATTGAAATGCCAACAAGAGCAAGTGAATATGTGATAATTGACTCTGTGCTCTGGTGTCAAAATTGTGATAGATGAGCCTGTTCTGTAAATTTTAGACTCCACAAGTCTGGTTATTTATTTGTTCAGTGGCAGTGGTGTTCTGTGGATGGCGTAAGGCAAAGAAGACATAGCATTTGCCCTAGAGGCAATAGTCTAAGTGAGAAAGAGAATTAAAAGCACAGAATAAGGTCTATCACCCTATCCAGCTCATTTCAATCAAGAAATCAAATTTCAAGAACAAAGCCAAACTTTAGAAAGGCAAACTTTAAGAAGAAATAAAACCAAAGGCAGGAGGCAGGGGAAGTAATGAATGTGGAAGGCTTTACCACCTTTAACAAACTGATGGACACATGGCACAGATGGACCCGTGCTTGCCGTGTGCACAGATGTGTGTGCACGCACAGCTCACACGTGGGCACCCGCACACACAATTCCAGTGTCTGTGCAGACACGTCTTCATAAGGAGTTTTCCTGCTTCTGTCCAGGAGGATGTCACACATGCTGATTAAATGGATCCGCTGAGTCCATAAATCCTCTGTCTGCCTTGTAGGTCTCTGTCAGCCTCGCAGCAGCTGGAGATATAGTAGTTAGTTCCAGCACATGTACAGTTCTTGTCAGGCACCGAGGAACATTCAGGATGGGCAAGAAGGACTGTCATCGCTCAAGGAGGCTTTTTGAAGCCTGGCTTTGCTTCCCCCTAGAGCTGGGTGGGACAGTGGAAGAGCTTGGAATGAAGACTGGGCTTTCCCCATGGCCTTTGGTATGTGGCTATTTAGGGGGGAAAGACCCGGATCAGCCCCAGTGCTATTCAACCGGCACACATTGTTACATCTGTTTCGGATGTTAAAATATTA